ACAAAAATTCTCACAACTGGACCAGTAAGCAACATCATGATAAACGGAGAAAAAACAACATCAAGGATTTCATTTTAGTTGGATCCACAATCAATGCCCATGGAAGCAGCAGTCAAGAAATCAAATGACATACTGTATTGGGCAAATCTGCTACAAAAGACCTCTCTAAAGTGTTAAAAAGCAAAGATGTCACTTTGAGGACTAAGGTGCGACTGACCCAAGCCATAATATTTTCAGTCACATCATATGCATGCGAAAGCTGGACAATGAATAAAGAAGATCACAGAACACTTGATACCTTTGAATTATGGTGTTGACAAAGAATACTGAATATACCATGGACTGCCAGAAGAATGAACAAATTTGTCTTGGAAGAAGTACAGCCAGAATGCTCATTAGAAGCGAGGATGGTGAGACTTCATCTCATGTACTTGGTACATTTTATCAGGAGGGACCAGGCCCTTGAGAAGGACATCACGCTTGATAAAGTAGCAGGTCAGCGAAAAAGAGGAAGACCCTCAATGAGATGGACTGACACAATGGCTGCAATAATGGGCTCAAACATAGCGATGATTGTGAGGATGGCGCAGGACCAGGCAGTGTTTCGTTCTGTTGCGCACAGGGTTGCTATGAGTCAGAACTGACTTGTCAGCACCTAACAACAAGATTACAGTAAATTTGTTCAGTAGTCTTTTATACTATATTTTTCTAAGTTGAGGGATAAAGAGGAAGCTGTCATCTTAATGGTTGCTGGTATATATTTGCTATGGAAAAAAGAAAAAAAAATTCACTGCATCCACAAATAGCAAAATCAAGCCAAATAAGTTACAGCTGTCATCCTGAGACATCCTGAATGCAAGATTTGAGGGCAATGGTATTGCTGGAGACATTAAGATAGAAAGCACAGATGCAAAACCTCCAAAAAAAGAAAAAAAATCAGAAGGACGGAAGAAGCAAGCTACGATAGAACAGGATAAAAATAGAGATTTCAAGGGCGTGCTTGCTGAAATTCAGTGATGTGGTTCTGAAAACTGAGCTCCTTGGCTATTAATCACCATAATGAGGGCTCATCATTCTTCACCATGTAATCTTTTCTTTGGGGATGTCACATACCTGACTATACTGCCGTCAGCCTAGAATATCTAGCAGGAAAATATCAGATCCACATTTCTGGAATAAGTCACCCACTCCAGTTTTCTGTCTGACGTAACTCTCTAGGAGCGTTGCCAGTGCTAATAAGCTCCCTGGCTGCCACACAGAAAACCACACTGACGCGCGAGCAGGGACATACAGATCACGGAAGCCATCCCATCTCCACACTCCTCTCACCTGATTCATCAGTGTTCCCCCTTTCCTAGAAAAACATGACATGCTGACAGGCTATTCTCTAGTTCATCCTAACACTCTGGCTCCCATCGTTCTAGTTGAAGGCTCACCAGGAGCCAAATATATTTGTTTCTTAACCTGTTTATACCAGTTATACCCATTACCATAATTACACAGTTTAATTAATGTTACAGATTGAGTTGTGTCCCCTAAAAATATATGTTCTAAATCCTAACCCCTATACCTGTGGTTTTAATAATCTCATTTGGGAATAGATTCTCTTTGTTATGGTAATAAGATGGCATTAGTGTAGTCTCTGTCTTAAGTCAATCTCCTCTGAGACATAAAGAGGCAGAGATGGGGGAAGATGGGTGCCCCATCACATGAAGATCACCAAGGAACCAAGAAATAGATGATGATAAGAGACAAGGACCTTTCCCCAGAGCCCAGAGAGAAAGCAAAGCCTTCCCCTAGAGCTGGCAAACTGAATTCAGACTTCTAGCATCCTAAACTGTGAGAAAATAACTTTTGTTAAAGCCACACACTTGTGGTATTTCTGTTATAGCAGCACTAGATAACTAAGACAACTAAATATTACATAAATCAATGAAACATTAAAACAAGAAAGTTGTTATTTCCATAAAAACCAAGTTGAGTGTTTTTAAAGGTGGAAACAACTGAAATGTTCATCAACAGATGAATGGATAAACAAAATGTGCTATATATACACACAATGGAATACTACTCAGCCATAAAGAGAAATGAACTCCTGATATATACTACAAAATGGAAGAACCTTGAAAACATCACGCTGACTGAAATAAGTCAGTCACAAAAGGACAAATATTGTATGATCCCACTTATATGAAATAAGCAAATATATAGAAACCAGAGATCATTAGGGGACACTGAGGTTAGGTTAATGATGGTGGAATGATTTGGAAAAGGATAGTGAGAATGGTCGTACTACTTGAAGAATGTAATTAGTGTCACTGAATTGTGCATGTAAAATTATTGAGATGGCATGTTTTAAGTATATTTTTACCATAACAAAATTGAAAAAAAAATAAAGCAAAAGGGAAAAATAAAGGCAGGTGTTCAGCTGGAAACACATTAAACACACAGAGGAGATCAGGGATAGAACATCAGTGTATTAGGATTCACTCACGCACACAGCATATTAGCTCCAGGGGCCCGAGCTGCCTCATTTGTAAAGCAAAAAAAGACCAACCTGAGGTCATTTCCAGCTCTATGCTTTTATGAAATGCTATTATTACCAGTTTTTAGTAAAGCTCAGTGGTATCTCTACACTGGTTCACTCCCCAATTAGAAGGCTCACTATTAACAGTCTCAAGGAAGGACTGGGCCACCTCCTCCTCTCCCAAGTCCCACACTAACCGACAGTAAGTCCTGGTGATCAACCTGCCTCCATCCGGCCCTCCCAGACTCAACCCCACAAATATGTCCTACTACGTGTCAGGCATCACTCTGGGCTCTATTCACTAACCACAATGGCCTTTTTAAAAGCAAGAATTCATCATGTAACTCCCGTTGCTTAAAAATTCGTTTACAATTTGCTTTTCTTGGCGTAATCATGACTGATACACCTCACAAAGCTCTTTGGCACCAGGTCCTCTGGCTTCATCTCCTGATCTTCCCCATCACACACCTCTGTTCATCTGCAGCTGAGACTCCCACCTCCACTCTTTGCTGTTGTTGCAGCTGCTGCCAAGTCAGCCCCGGACTCATGGCGACCCTATGCACGATGGAATGAAATGATGCCTGGGCCTGAGCCATCCCCAGGATTGGCTGGGGACTGGACTGCTGTGATCCATAGGTTTTTCACTGGCTGATTTTCTGAAGATTGCCAAGTCTTTCTTCCTAGTCCGTCTTAATCTAGAAGCCCTGCTAAAGCATGTTCAGCATCATAGCAACATGCAAGCCTCCACAGACAGATAGGTGGTGTCTGAGCGTGAGGTGTACTGGCCAGGAATCAAACCTGGGTCTCCCGAATGGAAGATGAGAATTCTACCACTGAACCACCAATGCCCCTGCCCACACCTCTTCACCTTTGTTAATGTCCTCTCTCCTTCAAAAGTCTGCTGAAGTGTCCCCTCTTTCAGGAGGCCTTCTAATAAGCCCCCTTTTCCCTATTTATTTGAGTTCCCATACCTCCCTGGGCCCACTTCTACCATAGCTCTTACCACAGAGCACGACAACTATTGATTTTCCTGTCTCTTCATCTGCTACACTGTCTGAAACGCTGTAGGCAAACATTTCATTCATTCATTTAACAAATGTTTCAGTAATTATCCCAGCCAAGCACTACTGCAGATGCTGGGCATTCAGCAGTGAATGAAACAAAATCCTAGCAGGGAGACACGGATTCTAGTAGTGGACACAAACAACGTACAAAATAACTAAGATCCATAATATGTTACATAGCAACGAGGAGAAAACCATGGAAGGTGGCAGGAAGTATGTGTACGTGTGGCAGGAGGAATGGACTGCCTCCGTGAGGTGGCATTTGAGTAAAGATGGGAAGGAAATGAGGGGCGAGCCCTATAGGCTCTGAGGAAAAAGCACTACAAGTAGAGGGAACGGACAGTGCAATGATCCCGGGGTAGGAGCAGGCAAGGTAAGCGCAAGGAACAGCCAGGAAGCCACTATGCCTAGAGTGAGTGAAGGATGGGAAGAGAGCAAGAAATCAGGCTAGAGTTCAAGGCGAGGGGTGAGGGCAGCAATCATGCAGCATCTTACAGGGCATAGCAAGGACTCTGGCTTTTACTCTGAGGGAAATGGAGAGGGTTTTGCCATACAAAAGGATAAAAGGAGAACCTTGCCAAATTTAATTTTGAGGCGTAACGAATCAGTCAAGAATCCCTAGGTAGCGCAAATGTTTAAGCGCTCACCTACTAACTCAAAAGTTGGCAGTTGAAACCCACCCAGACACACCTCAGAAGACAGGCTTTGCTTCCAAAAGGTCACAGGCTTGAAAACCCTATGCGTTAGTTCTACTCCACACATACACGGTCACCATGAGTCACAATCTACTCAACAGCAACTAACAACAGCTTTCTCATCAATCCCCAGACATGATTCTTTGCTGGGACAGAACGCTGCAGTTCTCATTCATATCTAGCAAGAAGGCCTTGAACACAACAGAGAGTCCCTGTTGGAGCAGGAGAAAAGTAGGGTGCAGAACTAAAATTCTACTGAGAAGACCAGGCTTAATGGTCTGACTGAGACTGGAGGAACCCCAGAGAGCATGGCCCCCGGACTCTGTCAACCCAGCACAAAAATCATTCCCAAGGCCAACTCTTCAGTCAAAGATCAGACTGGGCTACAGGACATAAAACGATACTCATGAAGAGTGTGGTTCTTAGCTCAAGTAGATACAGCAGACTAAACGGGCAGCTCCTGTCCAGAGGTGAGATGAGAAGGCAGGGAGGTTCAGGAGCTGGCTGAATGGATGCAGGAAATGAGGGGTGGAAAGGAGGAGTGTGCTGTCACAGTACAGGGAAAGCAATTAGGGTCACATAACACTGTGTGTATAAATGTTTGTATGAGAGACTAACTTGAATTGTAAACTTTCACTTGAAGTACAATAAAATGAAATTAAAAAAGAAAAAAAGGCCCAATCTCAAAGGGGAAAAGAACAGAATGTTCCTTACCTTAACAGTGCAAGTTCTAACTGAACTCAAAGCTATAAGAGTCATCACCAAAGCTGAGTAGGTCATGCACATTTTCCTTTTCTTCCCTCCTCCCCTGAGATGCACAATAGTTTGCTTATCCTCAGTAGGAGGGTGAGAGCTTCATCAGTTCTGGCCACTCAGGGAAAGGGCTCTGGTTGGTCTGATACCTTGCAACCTTATGTTCTTTGGCACCGCTCTAAAAATACACATGCCTGAAGTTCAACCATATCCTCTCCAATTAAGGTATTTAATGATTAAGGCTCTTTTCCTGTAGCACTTAAATTCTCTTGGATTTTAGTCTAGCAGATGTGTTTGTTGAATAAGTAAATCGATTAAGCTTCAAACTCACCTTTCATACTTTTCTGGACACTATTACTTCCCTTTAAAAGTTTAGACCATTTTATTGCTCTTCTAGTGAGTATTACCAGATAGGAGGAAAAAAATTCTTCATAAGATGCATAATCAAAGTCTTCAGGTCTTTCAAATCCATATGGATCAACCCTGCAAGAAAAAACAAAAATTGTGGCAGAAGAATAAAGTTTTCATACATACACACATGGTGCCCTAGGGGCCCAGTGGTTAAAGTGCTCACTGCTAATCAAAAGGTCGGCTGTACGGCCTATGGGGCAGTTCTAGTTTGTCCTATAGGGTCACTATGAGTCGGAATCGACTCAACGACAACTGGTTTACACACACGTGACCTGTTGGGAGCCCTGGTGGTGCAGTTGTTAAGAGCTACCGTTGCTAATCAAAAGTTGGCAGTTCAAATCCACCAGGCGCTCTTTGGAAACCCTATGGGGCAGTTCTACTCTGTCCTACAGGGTCACTATAAGTCAGACTGGACGGCCATGGGTTTGATTTTTTTGGTTTGGTGGCCTGTTGAACTCACTAAATCTCGTTCCAAGGCACACTACCAAAATACATACAGTGACATTAACGCGACAACCTTCCTTGCCCACTCACCACAGTTTTTTTCAACCAAGCATCAGTGTTTTTACGGGAACAAGCTGCCGTGGAAAGGAAAGGACAAGGCGCCTGCGTGGGAAAAAGCAGCAGCGCGCTGACTTCAGAGCCGGCCAGTATTTAATTGTAACCATTCTTAACCGCGGAGAAGCGCCACTGAAAAACGAGACAGTGCCACACGATAGGGAACGCTCCCTGCCAGTCACCGGTCCTGGCGACGCCGAACCGCCAACCCCGGGAGCCCAGGCCGTGCGCCCCGGTCCCTCCCCCGCGGGCTGCAGAAGGAAAAGGGTTTCGCCGACCACGGCGCGGTGGCTGCGATTCCCGGCCAAGGGACAGTCGCGACTCGCACAGCAGCGCCAGCGGGAGACGTGGCTCGGGACACACATAGGCACCTCGCCGGAGGCTCAGCGACCATTCACCAGCCGCCCGGGAAAGGAGCGCTGCCGCCGGCGCCGCGACCCCGCTCCGCGCAGGGGGCGCCCCGCCACCTACCTGGGGACACGCTCCCGCGCCGCCTGCGAAGCCGCGTCTTCGCGGCGCCCCTGCTCCGCCGGCGCAGAGTCCATGCCGCGGGGGCTCCCTGGGAGCTGCGAGGCGGGGGCGCTTTCCGCCGGTGGGGGCCCGAGGGCAGCCGGAGGGCGGCGAGGGGAGCCTGAGGGTGGAGGACGCGCTCTGGGCCGCGAGCTGGCCGGCCCCGCCCCGTGCAGTCCGGCCCGAGCCCTCAGCGGCCGCGGCTCCCCCTCCCGGAGCCGGGCGGATCCGAGGAGGCCGGGGCGTGAGCGGATCCAAAGTTCATCTCCCGGGACTCCGGGAGCCCTTCGTCTCCTTCCGGGCCCGCCGTGGCCGCCAGGAGGCGGTGCGAGGCGACTAGGGTGCGCCCAAGTTGGGGGCGCTCGCGGTGGGGGCGTCCGGCACTGCCTCGGCGCGCTCCACGCGGCCCCCTGGCCGCCTCCGCGCTCGCAGGCGGGCGGGGGCGGGGAGGCGCCGCTGCACCTGCTCCCGCGGCACCTGGAAAGGCAAACGTTGGCGGCGCTGCCCCAAGAAGTTTCCCGGGGAGCTGGAGCGGCGCTCCTAGAGCCTGGGCAGGGGGCCGCAGCTCTTGCCGAGCCCCCTCCGCTGCCCCGCGACCGCGGCCTAGGTCGTCAGTCTCGCGCGGCGGGAAGGGAGGAGGCCGCGGGCGCTGGGAGTGCGAGGTGGGGGCGGTGAGATCCGGGCGGGGACAGCGCGCGCCCCGCCTGGGGTGCGGGGAGGACGCGGACCCGTCGTGCCTAGATCTGGCGGGCCTCGTGCTCCTGGGAGCAGTCGAGGGGCTGGGCACACGCCCCTGAGTCCCGGCTTTTGGGTCTCGGGCCTTCGTTTGCTGGCTCCGGGAGGCCCAGGGCTGCTGGCTTGGCAGGGGGCAGGCGGGGGTGGGGTTCAGCGCCGCAGGTCTCCTGCGGCTTTCGAGCAGGGTGGGGTGGATCAGCAAAGGTTAGGCAGAAATAAACCCAATGTTTATTCTTATAGGATTCCTTAAAACTGAAGTGCCTGTGCGAGTCGAAAGGCAGCTCGACATTTGACTCTTATTTTTCTTCCCGCACAGAATTATCAAGTCTTAATTTTTACTTGCTTCCCTTCAGCCTGTTTTTCAGAGCTGAAAACAAACGTAAATTCTAAGTTGATGGTCCCTGTACTTCAGTCCCTTGGGGAAGCACCCACCTAGGGAAAACTTGCCCTGTTTCTGCCGTCCCCAAAACACCCCCGAGGCTTTTAGCTAAGTGGCCAAAACAGAAAGGAAGCCAGGAGTTACATTTCTCCTCCTGCCTCCACCCCCTTAATCAAATCCGAACTCCGCCAGTGAGCCAGGCATTGGAAAATGACAAACTCTGCCAGAAAACCACATTACCCGTAAAATTAAGTAGCTGTGGTTGCTAAAAGACCAGCAGATGGAATTTCCGAGAGGAGATTAACTGCAGGCCCGCCTCCCGTTGAGTCTCAAGATGACTGTGTTAGCATTGATGTTAGTATCATGCTCCCCATCCCTGAAAGTCGGGCGAGGGATGGGAGACTCCACTCCTTTAGCTGCAGTCTTTCCCAATACTTTCGTTTCAAGGTCTTGGGAGCACGAGTCAGAACTCAGGGTACTCACTGCAATTTAACATGGTCACATTTGCCTTTTACTTAGGGGGAAAAAAGCGGTGCCGAAAACAAACCACAGTAGCTATAAAATGTGTGTATTAACTGTCCGTCCCTTATATTCCAGGGCAGTCTTGATTTTGAGTATTATCTTCTGGTCGTCATACCAAGCAACCAACCCGATACTATCGAATCGATTCTGACTGATAGTGACCCTATAGGACAGAGTAGAACTACCCCATGGGGTTCCCAAGGAACGGCTGGTGGATTCGGACTGCTTACCTTCTGGTTAGCAGCCAAGGCCTTAACTGCTGTGCCACCAGGGCTCCCTGGTCCTCATAAGCCATTGAAATACCCTAGAGATTTCCGTATTTTGGCATGGAAACCATATCTAAATTTCTCACAGGAGAAATTTGCCAAAACTATGTTTTGGAAATGTGGTGTGGTAAAAGGCGCTATTCTTGGGTTTTCACCGTGGTTTTCTAGCCTTAGCCCTCCACGTTCCCTGCCCCCAAGGGTCTTTTTATTTTTAATGGATGCAGAACAGTTGGCAGATTAGGTTTAGTGCAGAAAGGCACCTTCTCTCCTGCAAATGTCATGTGAACAGATTAATGGGGCTCAGAACCCCTCGTGTAAACTTAACCCAGTCCGCCTTTGAGAAAAATGTCTTTCTGAGACTCCAAATACATTTTTTCATTAAAAGAAGCCATAGATCATGGCTAGATGTGGCAGAAATAATATTGTCAGCATTTTACTTCAAGCCTATGAGGGCTTTTGGGAACTAGCTTGGAATTTTAGCTGTTTTTCAGGAATATTCCATCTGAAAGCTAAATGAGGAGCCTGAAAAGTAGTTTGTAGAACACAACTGGCCTCTATATTGGGAACATCTGTTTACCAATTGTTACCCTTCTCTATACCCTTGAAGGGTCCCTGGGTGGGGCAAACAGTTTGTGTTCAACTACTAACCTAAAGGTTGGCAGTTTGAACCCACTCAGCAGTGCTGCAGAAGAAAAGCCTGATGATCTGTTTCTGTAGAGATTTTAAAAATACAAAAGAAAAAACCCAAGTCCCGTTGCTGTTGAGTTAATTCCAACTCATAGCAACCCTTTTAGGACAGAGTAGAACTGCCCCATAGGGTTTCCAAGGAGCGGCTGGTGGATTAGAACTGCCGATCTTTTTGTTAGTAGCTGAACGCTTAACCACTGTGACGAGAAAACCCTATGAAGGAGTTCTACTCTGTAACATACGGGGTCGCTGTGAGTCGGAGTAGGCTCAAAGGCAACAGGTTATATCCTTGAAGACTAGGAAATTTAGTGCTCAATTGAGCATAACCACAAATAATCAGTTCCTTGGATGTGCCTACTTTGCTGGTTCTGAGAAAAATTCTTTAAGTTTCCAGCTCATTTCAGAAGCATTTTGCTTTTGGAAGATGAAGTACGTCTTCTTTCAATGATGCATAATGCTTGATCTGTTCTATGGATTCGATCCCTGTCTGACCTCCTTGGGGCATTTACCCCAGCAAATAGTCCTTCTTTTGCAGAGACTCAAAGTCACAGACAGGGCTACATATCCTTACACAACGTGCAAAGTCTTCCTCTTGGCCTATAACTACATTTACTTCTACTGTATCTTACACAAACTAAACAAAACAACCAGGTAGGCATCCCCCAGAGATCTGTCTGGCACCCTCTTTTGTTTTTGCCCTGTTTCAGTCTTTGGCAGTCTTTCTCTCTCTTCAGGCCCAAGATGGCTTATACCAATCTAAGCAAATGACTGCCTGAACCATCTCTCTAATTCTGAACTTTCTTTTGGGGCCCAAACCTCATTTCCTACTTCCTGCTCATCATTTCTCATGCCAGACTCAACATCTCCTGTCCACCAAACTGCCTCCCGACTTCAATTTCTGTTAACACAGATCCACTGTTCAAGTTCCCCAGCTCTGATCCTTGGAGTCCTGTCAAATGCTTCTCACTTCCTCACCTTCAAGGTCCCTCTTTCCCATAATCCTTGCCCCTTCTAATTGGTGGTGTGATTCCAATTCACTTCCCTCCCATCCATCTTCATCACAGCTACCCTTGATCATGTCACTTCACTGCCCTACCAGGAAATATAAATCACTTGGTTTAGTGCATTTGAACTTGTGTATGATGGCAACACACTTTGCAAACTATATTCTGGGAGTAGATGAAACTAGAGTTGTGAGCATTTTATGTCTTGAACAAGTTAGATAAGAATGGGCTGCCTTCCAGGAAGAATGGAAAGGAAAGATAACGAGAAAAAAGAATTAGGACTCAGTGCTGAATGAAGATGATTAGCAGCCAGAAGGAGATGAAGTTAGAAAGGCCTCCAGACGGATTAAGAACTACCTATTCCCACCTCCCAGGCGCCCGCCTCCCATCACCACATGTGGCCTGAGCTCCCCATGTAGCGGCAGGAAACAACTGGACCACGGATCGTTGACATATCTCCATACGCCTCCAAATGCCAAGTGCTGTGAGTTTCATGGGCACCTTCACTGACCAGATTCCTTTTCGTCAAAGTTGGCAACCACGAGTGTTCATATCAGGCAGATCATATCTGAAGTAAAAAAAAAAACCAAATTGCACAACTTCAGGAACAGAACTGTGCTGTCTGCACTAAAGGCCACCAGCCAAGCTCCTGGATTCTTCCCCCAGCGCTGCCTGGGCGCCTCCCTTTTCCCGGTGCTCCCGTTAACACTGTGTGGTTAAACTTCCCTTGCAGTGTTAAAGCCATCCCCTGACACTCATTAGAAGCATCCACGAGTCCACTGTGCTGGTTAAAAGACTTTGAAAAAACATGGACAGCAGACTAGGCTAAAGAAGGAAGCGTTTGGTCTGAGAGTCACACTCACTCCCAGCCAGGTCTCCATGGGTCATTCATCCAATGGATGCCTCATTCTTCCTTTAGGAACTCAGCTTGTTCTCATTGCTTTATTTTAAAAGTTGCTGTTTTTCTACTTTAGTTTCCTGGGATGCCTGTCCCCCTCATGATGAAAGAAATATCTAGACGACTATCATCAATGACTGCTAAAGCTTTTGGTGAAAAGTTGATGGTGGGGAGAGGTGGAGAAGGAAGACATAATGCTTAGGAACACTGAGGTTTTGATAAGGGTGATG